GTCTTGAGTTCGAACACCAGTACCAAAAAAAAAAAAAAAAGAATACAAACCAGAGCTCCTTGCTGTTATTTAAAAAAATACACCACAATTTTTTTTAAAGTACCTACTGTATACAGGCCATTTTATATGTTCTACATATATTATCACAGTTACAGTTAAGTCTTACAATAAATCTATGAGGTAGGTTCTATTCATTATTCTTATTTTGTAGGTGAGGACAACTGCAGCTTGGAGAAATTTCCCTAAGGATGCACAGCTAGTTAAATGCAGAGCCAGAAGTCTAACAGATTTGATTCCAAAGCCTATACTCATTCCTATTTGTCAGCCCCTCAAGCTTATATTTAAGAAAAATTTTGAAAGAACTCTGCATATATACAGCATTTAGGGTAGAACAATAAAATGATGGTAATGCAGCAGACAAATGTACATTCTTTCATTTTGCTTCTCTGTAAATGACTGACTCTGTTAACATACTTTCCCAGAAGTATTATAAATAAATTGAGCCCTTCTGTGATGAAATGTGACCCTATATTCAAACAAGGCCTGGTTATTAAACGTTTGCAGTTAAATTAGCAGGGTGACTACTGCCATTTTAATTTGAAAGCTTCAGAGCTGTTTAAAAACTTGTGAACAGTCCCAGGTTCTGGGGGCTCTTGGGCATGCACTTACCAATCACTTAACAGATTCCTGAGCATCCACTATACAGAACCACGGAGAGCAGCTAGTCACTGCTGACAGACGGGAGAATACAGTAACCTTACTACACTGAATTCAAATGGAGAACACAGAAACTGCACATGCAGAAAGGGAAGACATTGCTACAAAGGTGATATTTTTACTGAAGAATCAGATGATAGAAGAAAGTAAGCCATGCAGATATATGGGGAAAGAACTACAGAAAGAACAGTTGGGGTAGGAGGTGGGGGGGGTGGGCTTGCTAGTATAGGCCCTGACGGCAAAGACAACTGCTTTGAAGAATAGCAAGAAGACCAGTACTGTTAGAGAGAAAAAGTAATCAGAGATGAGGGAAGAGAGGTAGAAAGATACACCGTTTGAAGGCCATGATAAGAAGTCTGGGTTTTATTCCTGAGTGTGAGAAGAAACCATAGATTTCTTGAGATTACTCCAGCAGAAAGAAATGAACCCAGCAACAGAGTGGAAGCAGACAGCTCAGTTAGGAGACCCCTGCACCAGCCCCAGTGGGAGAAGACAGATTTGAAAGGAGGTGCTGTAAGAGTGATGTCTTTTGGTAGCTGGCATCATCAACACACACAAGTAGACAGATGATCTTTTAAGTCAGAGGACTGAGAAAAATCCCACAGAAGAATGAATCTTAGCTCGGAAAGGGAAAGCATCTTCACTGCATCAGCACATCTGACGTTTACTGTATTCAGCCCCAACTCTTTTCTCTAAGGACTGGAGAACAGCAGGAGGCTTGGAATTTGTTTCCATACACACTGTGTTTTTGACCATGTAGGAAATAAAAATGTAAGAAACAAGACGGAAATAAAATATTTATATTTAAGGGCAGAGCTTCTCAGTAAGTTAACATGTAATCGAACTTTGAATGCCAAGTCAATTAATTTCTAAAAATAAATAATTTCACCAAAGTTGGAGTCTTTAACAAATAAAGACTTCTAAATCTAGAACCTGAAAAGACACATAAACAATGCAAGTGGTTTCACTTTAACATAATCTAATCTGTATTTATTTCATGATACTGTTGACATGTTAGATGCCTACATTCAGGAAATACAACAAAAATTTGAAAGTAAAATGGATATATACACAAGAACTGAGAAAACAATAAAAATATCTGTGATGAGGCAATTTCAAATTTAGTTCCTTTCTGTTTCTCTGTAGTACTGTAGGTATTCAGACAAAGTCAAAATTAAAAGTTGTTTTTTTTTAAAGTAATGTGTATTTCTTCTTATATTTCTAAAATTAACTGTTTATACCTTCTTTCAGATTGTAACCATTTCTGACACTTTCAGTTGTTAATAGGGCATGGTTACTGAAGGAGGAGGACCTGAGTTCAAATGCAAATTCTACCCTAACAATCACTACTGATTTTGGGGCCAATTACTGTACACCAAGAGTATCTCAGTATCCTTATTCTAAAGGCAGGAATAATATCTACTCTGCTGCGTTTCTAGCAAATTGAAGAAGATTAAGCTATGCAGAGCCCCACCAAACATTTACAGCTTTGTAAATGATAATTCTTTTCTTTTAGCCTCCCTTCTCTTCACTGTTTCAGCATCTACAGCATTTACATGCACATTAAAGTAATTGAGTGCTTTTCAAAGGAAAGGGTGGACTTTAAAGTGGTGAGGCTTCACAATCCCACCCGTGCTTTGATAAGTGGCTTTTGAAATGCTGTAATATTTTATTCTACTGGACCCTAAGGCCTAGTAGACTAGGGATATTTGCAATATGGAAAACATATCATACAATATTAAAAGGCATTAGCATATTCTGAATCAAAAATAACAAGGTATTAAATCCTTCAAACACACACACAAAATAAAGAAAAAAATCCTCACAGGGCACATTTTCATCATTTACTCTGGGACCAAAACTTGAATAATCATGACATTATAAGCTAAATTTTACATTTTTTCCCAATGATTATTAACTTCTATTTCTGTGCACTGATTAATATAATGGACCATTCACCAGAGCTTTTGTAAATAAATCCAAATTTTATTTATTTATTTATTAGAGGTGTTTAATTTTATTATTTTAAATTTGTGAATTTTAAAAATTTGTGGTGACACATTACTTCAGGTATATTTATGCGGGTTTTGTTAGAATCAGCGAGAAACTCGGTACACCAGATGAAGGAACATCAGCACTGTAGCTACATCCACTTTCACTGTAGCCACTACTAGACTGGAATCTTCTCGGATCCTGAAGAGGTCCAGAACTGCTGGCCAAGTCTACGGCCATACCACGCTGAACACATCTGATCTCGTCAACACCACTGGCCAAGGAAAAAACTGTTGGCTTGGCCTTTCTCGGCAATGTTTCAGGTCACTCTGTCATTTTCTATCTCTACAGAATTTCCAACACTGTAGTGCTAGAGTGAACTGAGATCATCCCACAATTAAGGAAACAGCTCATCTAACAGCCAATTACCTAAATGACAATTAAGTGTCCATTTCCTCCTTATACACTTGATTCAGCTATTTTTACCCTTTCCCAGAGTCAAACCTATCTCATATTTATCATTATAAACTCAGAAATCTACACGTCCCAATTTCAGAGGAGTGCTGCTGGCTCTTCACACAAACCAAAAGGCAAAGCTGGTTTCTGATTTTTCTTCAAATAAGTAATTATGTCAAAATTATTTTGTCTCCTCCCCACACTAGGTCAATTTAAAATGAAGAACATATGCATTCTTCACGATATTATCTATTTTTTAAAGTTTTCTGCATAGTAATAGTGTCATCCTGAAATAGAATTTAAAAGATTTTAAATAACTTATATGGCCTTCTGAACACTGTAACAGAGCTAAAATCTAAGTTTTTAAATGAAATACCTCTTATTTAAATTTCCAAAATTAGGTTTAGACTTTCAGAATAATCAAGAGTTTTTAATTTTACGTGGGAAATTTTTAATATCCGTATTCTTCCTTCCTTCATTTTTGTCCTGATTAGGAAAGGACAAAGAATGAGGAAGGGGAGGAAAAGGACAAATTTGTTCTTTTACTGCTCATCGATCAACAAAGTTAAACATTTATTTGTGGGTAAGGTGATACAAAATATTAACCTGATATAATGTTGTTGAGAATTAACTACTACACACATTCACATTAACATTCTCCGGGTTTAGCTCTGAGAACAATATATGGACATAGGTCCTCTACTGTCCTCTTCTTTGTCCATCAAACTCTTTCATTCAGTCAGTGAGCACTGACTGGGCCGAGCATCCCAGGTTCTGGTATACAGCAATACCCAGAACAAAAATCCCCATCCTCATGGACCCTAGCTCTCCAATAAAAGGAGACAGCTTTTCAAAATACAACACACAGCATATAAGACAGTATTATGAGTGAAAATAAAATGGGGAAAGAAGGGTAGGAGTAGGCATAGGAGTTGAATTTTTAAACTGGGTAATCATTTATCCTTATGTTCCTTTCTAAAAATTATAAGAATTTAAGAATCTACACATTTCTATTTTTCTCTGCATCAAATTATATGGAGGAACATACTAAGAATAAATTTCTGTTACAGAGAAATGGTGAACAATCTCAAAATTACAATTTTAACAACAGAGTTGCCACTATTTAACTTTTTTTTTTCTGGTACCAGGGATCAAACTCAGGACCTTGCACTGGCGAGGAAGGCAGTGGAACCATTGAGCTAAATCCTTGGCCCTCACTGTTGAACTTTTAAAAGATGGCCTCATACTACTTTCCTAAGCTTACTAGTAACAGAGGCAGATATATCTCATGTGTACCATAATCACTTTTACTGCTGATGTGATAAACTTTTTGATAAAACCTGATACTTACCAAATGGCTATTAAGTAAAACAAAACAGAACTAAAATCTTGAAGAAAAAGTTTTTCATATCCTGTATTAATTTGCTGAGTTCTGGATGGATAGAACAAATAGCTCTTTAATATATGTACAACTTATGTCCAGCTGCATCCCACTGATGGCCAAAAATAACTAAGGAGTTTTTTTTTCCCTCTTTAAAAAATTGTGGTCTAATAGCCAAATACTGTACAGGCAAGTTGGGCTCTTATCTGGTAACACCAGGTTCAGAACTCGGAAGGGTGGCCAGGCTCCATACTTAGGTAGGCTTGTCACAAAGCTTCTGTTGGTTACTACCTCAATCTACTTATTTCAGTCACAGCTACTCTGACCTAAAGCTGTTTAAGAAAGAAATTTCAGGGCTCTCAAATTACTCACATCATGACTCTTCCCAGGACTTTATTGAAGTCAATATTTTAAAAAGTGGAATACTAAAACTTCTACCCCCAAAATAAGATACCTCCATGGTGATGTGACAGGCTCCCTCCATTCGCAAGGATTTCGTCTCTAGCAGCTGCCTGTATTTGGAAACAACACAACATATCATTGCTACTTAGGTTTGCACTTTAGAGTTTGAGAGACCCAGCTCCCAAAGGAGACACATACTTCCTAGGTTAAATAACAAACCAGAAACATAATTTCCCTCCCTCTTGGGTTAACTATGCTTTAAAAGCAATTAAAATATGCAACCTAATTTTATAGGATTTTTTTCCTAGTATGTAGTCACAATACCTACAAAGTCTACTTCAAAATTCCAGTAGAGGAAAAAAGGCAAAATGACCAATTCAGCAGCACTAAATTAATGATTAAATCAGTAAAAAGTGGTAAATGCAGAGTCAGGTTCTACTGTCAGTAAACATTTCAGACCAACAAGCACTATTAACATACATTTACCAACTACCTGTATGTTCGGAAAAGAACCAAGCAATCTGTTTGTAGTATTTAATTTATTTTCACTATAGCTTATGAAACACTGTGGTACCTCAGTTCACAAAATCAATTTTTTCCACAATCATGGTTGCAAAGCAACCAGCGAAAACCAAATCAAATTTCCCTGTAAGGTCAATATGAATCTAACCAGTAAATTTTTTTTCCTCTCATTGAGTTTACTGGTACATTTTAGGTATACAGTACAGTTACATTCATCATTGGGATCTTGTACCTTTACATGAAAGGTCTTGGTTCTCATTTTTTCCCCTTGTCCCTGCCCTCCCTTCACCCTCTCTTACCCTCCCCATTTGCAAACACTTTATTTCCATTTTTTCATTTTCTCATATTTTTTTCTTTTCCCTTATTACCTTTTGCCTACCCTTCCCACTTTCCCTACACCTTTAGCCCTTGTCTTCCTAATTCACATTGTCAATTATATCATTAGGATCTTATGTACTATTAGTTTTTCACATATGTACTATTAGTTTTTCACACCAGAGAAACTATTCGATATTTACATGTGACTTATTTATTTCACTTAAGAGTATATCCTCAATATGTATCTACCTTCCTATGAATGAATCTAATTTCTCATTCTTTATGGCTGAATAGTATTCCATTTTACAGAAAAACCACATTTTCTTTAACCAGTCTCCAACTGATGGGCAAATGGGCCGTTTCCAAGTTTTAGCTATTGCAAACTGTGCCGCTATAAACATAGGTGCGCATATATCACTGTGTTATGATTCTTTTAATTATTTTGCAAAGATACCCAGCAGAGGGATGGCTGCATCAAATGGAACCTCCAGTCCCAGCTCTTTTGAGGTGTCTCCATATTGATTTCCACAGTGGTTGCACCAGTCTGCACTCCCACCAACAATGGAGAAGAATTCCTTTCTCCCCACAACCCTGCCAACATTTGTTATTGGTTGATTTCTTGATAGCAGCCATTCTTTGTGGGGTGAGGTAGAATCTATCTCAGTGTTGTTTTCATCCGCATCACTTGAATGACCAGTGATGTGGAACATTTTTTCGTATATTTACTTGCTGCTTTTACTTGTCTGAGAAATGTCTGTTCATTTCAGGTGTTCATTTTTGAATTGGGTCTTTATATTTGGGGGGGGCTGATTGTTTTGAGTTCTTTATATATTCTAGATAAGAGTCCTTTGTCTGAGGAGCAGCTGGTAAAATTTTTTTCCCACATTGTAGGTTGTCTCTTAATTCTGTTGATGGTTTCTTTTGCAGTGCAGAAGCTTTTTAATAAGATGAGATCCCAGTTGTTGATTCTTTCTGCTAGTTCCTGTGCTACTGAGGATTTGTTCATAAAGTCTTTTCCTATGTCAATGTCTTCAAGAGTGCTGCCTAACTTATCTTCCAGCAAGTTTAGTGTTTCTGTTTTAATATTTAGATCTTTAATCCACTTAGATTTTAGTTTAGTGCATGGTGAAAGATAAGGGTATAGTTTTAATCTTTGGCAGGTTGAAATCCACTTTTTTCCAATAACATTTATTAAAGAGACTATCTTACCTCCAGTGAGGATGGTCGGCTCCTTTGTCAAAGATGAGGTAGGTGAGTACATGTGGAGGTGTTTTTGTAACTTCCAATCTGTTCCACTGATCCTCAGGTCTGTTTCTTTGCCAGTACCATGCTGTTTTTATCACAGTGGCTTTGCAGTATACTTTCAAATTGGGAATTGTTATACCTGCTGCCATTTCTCTGTTGCCTAGGATGGCTTTTGCTATTCTACGTCTCTTCTGGTTCTAAATGAATTTGTGGATTATTGTTTTCTAGTTCTGTGAAATATACTGTTGGAATTTCAATAAGTATTGCACTGATTCTGTATAGCAGTTTTGGTAGTATGGCCATTTTCACTATGTTGATTCTTCCTACCCAGGAGCATGGGATATCGTTCCACTTTCTTACATCCTCTTCGATCTTTTTTTTCACAGTGCTGTAGTTTTCAGTATAGAGGTCTTTTGCTTCTTTCATTAGATTGATTTCTAGATACTTTTTTGTATGCTACTGTGAAAGGAATTGTTTCCCGAATTTCTCTCTCAGTGAGTCTGTTATTTGTGTACAAGAAGGCTATTGATTTTTGAGTGTTGCCCTTGTATCCAGCTACTCTGCTAAAAGTGTCAATAAGTCTAGAGATCTTTTGGTAGAGTTTTTGGGGTCTTCATATCGTCAGCAAATAATGCAGTTTAACTTCTTCCTTTCCTATCTTTATTGCTTTAATTTCTTTCTCTTGTCTAATTGCTTTGGCGAATGTGTCCAGAACTATATTGAAGAGGTGTGGTGATAGTGGGCATCCTTGTCTTGTTCCTGATTTTAACATGAAAGTTTTCAGTTTTTGGCCATTTAATATGATGTTGGCTGTTGGTTTTTCATAGATAGCCTTTATTAAATTGAGATATAGACCATCTATTCCAATTTTTTGCAGGGTTATCATGAATGGGTGTTGAATTTTGTCAAATGCTTTTTCTGCACCTATCGAGACGATCATATGGTTTTTGTCCTTGACACTGTTAATATAGTATATTACAATTATTGATTTATGTATGTTGACCATCCTTGCATCCCTGGAATAAATCCGACTTGGTTAGGATGTATGATCTTCTTGATGATCCTCTGTATTCTGTTTGTCTTATTTAGGATTTTTACATCTATATTCATTAAGGAGATTGGCCTATAGTTCTCTTTTTTAGTTGTGTCTTTCCCTGGTTTGGGAACCAAAGTAATACTTGCTTCTAGGAATGAATTTCTAAGTATTGCTTCCCTTTCAATTTAACTGCAAAGTTTAAAGAGTAGTGGCAGTAGTTCTCTAAATGTCTTGTAAAACTCAGCAATGAATCCATCAGGACCTGGGCTTTCCTTTGTTGGTAGACTTTTAATTACATTTTCAATTTCACTGATTGTAATTGGGGTGTTTAAAATGTTTTTATCTTCTTCGTTCAACTTTGGTAATTCATAAGTATCTAGAAATCTGTCCATTTCTTCTGTGTTTTCCATTTTATTAGAGTACAGGTTCTCAAAGTAGATACTGACAATCCTCTGGATTTCTGTTGGATCTGTTGTGACTTCACCATTTTCATTCCTAATTGCATGCCTCTGAGCCTTTTCTTTCCTTTTTTTTGATAAAGTTAGCTAAGGGTTTATCAATTTTATTTATTCTTTCAAAAAACAAACTTCAATTCATTTATTTTTTTGTATTGTTTTCTTAGTTTCCATTGCAATGATTTCTGCTCTAATCTTTATAATTTCCTCTCTTGTATGAGCTTTGGGTTTTTCTTGCTCTTGTTTTTCTAGGAGTCTAAGATTCATCATTAGGTTGTTTATTTGAGCTTGCTCTGTTTTCCTAGTGTGGGCATTCAATTCTATGAATTTTCCAAGTAGAACTGCTTTCATTCTGTCTCACAGATTCCTGTATGTTGTACTGGCATTATCATTTATTTGTAAAAATTAATTTCTTCTTTAATTTCCTCTGTGACCCACTGATTGTTCAGGAGAGTGTCATTCAATTTCCATGTGTTTGTGAAGTTCCTACGGTTTCTTATGCTACTGATCTCCAGCTTGATTGCACTATGATCTGATAATATACAGGGGATAACTTTGATTCCTTTGCATTTATTCAAACCAGTTCTATGAGCTAGTATGTGGTCTATCTTGGAGAATGACCCATAAGCAGCCATAAAGAATGTATATTCTGATTTTGTGGGGTGGAACACTCTACAGACGTCTATTATATCCATATGTTCAAAAGCTTTAACCAGTGAATTTGATTTGGTTTTCATCCAACTTGGTTTGTGACCAGAATCATAAAAAGAATCAAATTTGTGAACCAAGGTTCCATGGTTATTTATAATCATTCCCATTTCACAGATAAAGAAAAACTGGGTCTAAATAAGTTAGATTAGTTGTCTAATATACAGGAGGTATCCGAGTCAATATGAGTTACAAAGTTATTGGGATTGACCATAAAAACCTTTACGGAGACGATTTTTTCGATCAATGACATGGGACAAATTATTTTTAGTTGTCAGTTCTATGAATATCTAAATGTGGGGGGATCAAAGATAAAAAACAAAACCTTTTTAAATTTCCTTTGTTTTAATCCTAAAAAGAGGGCCCATATGGAACAGATAGACCATATCTTAGTGCAAGTAGTCTCTAAGAACCCTCACTTAGGGATTTCTAAGAGAACCAGAAATATGTCAACATCTGCTCTAATAATTTATGAATTCTAACAAATTATTCCAAATAAGGCAGTAATTCCTTAGTATCAGTAGCACCCAGCAAATGACAGTATAGAATGGGAAAGACGAAGCAGTCTCACTCTGTGGTGCTACAGGGAAGGGACCTTTGATACACCAAAGTACTAAAAAGCTAGGGGGATAGGAATATATTATTTTAATTGGGGTGATGGTTTCACAGGTATATATAGGTCAAAATTCAGCAGGTTATACATTTTAAATATGTAATGTTTATTGTGTTTCAATTATATTTCAAAAAAGCTGGGGGTGGGGAGACAAAAAAGAAGACAGGGTTAAGTGGGAGCCAACCAAATCCTAACTATAGTTTGGATCTAAAAGTTTGCTGTCCACTGAAATTATCTTACAGGTACTATTTTTGGCATGAACATAATGGAGTTAAAACACTAGGACACCTGATATCCTAAGAAATCTGCTTCCTACAAATTCCTCCAGAGTTTCATCTATCACTTCAGCTCTACACACGCTTGTAATGAGAAATACTGTCAATCAACAGAAGACTTAATAAAAATTAGCAGCTTAGCTGAGCATGCCAGCACATGCCTGCAATCCCAGCTCTCTGGAGGTTGAAGTAGGATTCCAAGTTCAACACCAGCTAGACAATGTAGCAATTAAGACCCTGTCTCAAAATAAAAAATAAAAAATACAAGGTCTGGGAATGTAGCGCAGTGTGAAGGCCTTGGAATCAATCCCTAGTACCAACCTAATCCCCTCAAAAAACCCTAGTAGCTTAAGGGCACTTAAGAAATACAACAGAAACCAAGACATATCATTTAAAGGTACAAGATTCCAATGATGAATGTAACTGTACTATACAACTAAAAATATGAAGAAACTTAATGAAAAAATATATATATAATAGAGGGCTGGGGATATAGCTCAGTGGCACCGCGCCTGCCTTGCAAGCACAAGGTCCTGAGTTTGATTCCCAATACTGAAAAAGAAAAGAAAAGAAACTGTCAGCAAATGAGTGCTAATGGCCTATGCATAGTTTTAAAGCATTTATAAACCTAGAATGGTGATATTACAATAACACAAACAAAAAACATGAGGGCTGCTGATCTCCACAGCAGCCACCACCTAAACATGGGTAGGCTACCAAAGTGATATAAAAAATCCCAAGAGTCACTAGAATTCCTATTGTTATAGAACTTAATCAGCTATTATATAAGGAACAACCAAATAATCACACACTACAGGTGTACAGAATATTAATTTTCAGACTCACAATCCAGTACATAATCTAGGGTAACAAATATACTTTTCATTTCTACAAACTAGCAGCCAGGTAAATGACGTGTGACTAAAGAGTCAAACTAAAATTCATAAAACATTACTAAAATTTATTTAAATTGATAAAAAATGTAAACGTTATATGCATGTGTGCAAAATTACCTCAGTTTGCTCAAACACAGCCAGTGGGTCACTAATTCCCCTGTAGTTAAAGGCAAAATAGAAGTAGATACATGCACCTGCATCATAAGTCTGCGTCACCCTAAAAAAAAAACAGACAAAATCCCCACAAGGGCTTTATATTAAAGTGAAAACTGATTTAATATCTAGAAACTTAAAGGCAAGATCATCTGAATGATTAATTTAATATTATTTCTTATTCTCTAGCCTCCTACTGCACAGAAGAAACGCAGATTGTCTCTCTTTGGAGTTGTTGCTTAAAATATGCAAACTAAGAATGCTGTAGGAAATAAAAAGATTCTATTTCTATTTAAATGGCAATTTAACATGGCAATATTATAAGCATCCATTTAATCTTTCTCTGGTCAGTGTTGTATTACTAAAACAAACATAGCAAAAAGTTCATCGGTATTCTGATAAGATGCCATTTTGAGTGATCTTATTGAAGTTGTTTCATTATCTAGAGGTAGTGGGAGCTATGTGTGAAAACATTTAAATTATAGTCAGATAAGTATTGTTATCAGTTGTTCTAAAATACATGATCAAAATAACAAAAACATGACACTTCCAAGTGCATATAGCCTGACAAAAGTAATACTATGACTTTTTTCTGTTTCTTGTATTTAATTTTATATACAATTAGTCTTCTTGTGACTACATTAAAACAATACTTGAGGACCATCCATATCACAAATAGTATAGCTCCATTATTTTTTGAAAGCATATTTTCCTGCCAAAAGATCAAACAAGTCCACATGTGCAGATGTTGGTTATGTTTCGTATTGTCGCAGTGGACTGACATGATATAAAATGCTTGCTCCTTGAGAAAGACAAGGTTAGTGCCAGGGATTTAGCTCAGTGGTTCTGCTGCTTGCCTTGCAAGTGCAAGGACCAGAGCTCAATCTCTGGTACCGAAAAAAAATAAAAAAGAAAGAAAGAAAGACAAGGTTAGATGAGAACCAGGAAACTTGTTCTGTTCCTTGGCCCTATCCTTGCTGAGACAGAAACATGAACTGCTGTAATCTATACAAACGTGAAAACACTGACCAAAAGCAATTTTCATTATTTTAAAAATATATTTTAATAAAATGTAGGCAAGTTACAACATCCTGAAAATACACTAAGTGCTCTGACAACAACTTGTCATTTGTTTGGCTTTCACGGCTCAAAAGACTTAAAAGATTCTGATCAGAAAAGGTAAACCATTGAAGTTGAGGGTATAAAGTGGTGGGGGCAGGAGCTGCACTCCTGGTTAAATTTAATAAAGAAGTAAAATAAATATCACTAACACTTTTTTCAATCTGGATAATTTAAATGCACTAGGAGAAACTCTTTTAAGCACACAAAGTCAATATAAGATCTACCCTCAGGATATAGAGTAATAGGAGAAAAGATTATTGATAATCCTGGGCTCAGTATGATAAACTGTCTGATGATGCATGAAAGACAGACAACATTTACAGTTCTAATGTAGCTTGAAAATCAGTACACAGACTACACAGAGAAAATACTGAGGTAATCAAAACACAAAGAATAGGAAAGTCTGAGTGGGTCAGGTTGGGAAAGGTGCCTAGAAAAGTGTTCCTAAATGAGGTCTGGCAGAAGAGGATACTGTACTAGATAAGAAAAATGCCACATTTCAAGATAAAATTAACCAGGAGATAACATAGGAAAGTAAAAAACCAGACATCCAGAAGCACAGGAAGCAAATGGGCAAACAGAGGGAACAGAGTAGCGAAGGGTGAGTTGAAAGTCATCACAATTCAAACACCAGGAATAAGCAAAACCAAAGAATTTGAGGAAGAAGCCAAGATGAAAGGAGCAACAGTGAACAATGGCAATCACTGCTGGGACAGTATGTGAGGAAAGTGAGGTGCATCTTCATTTAGTACCAATTCTGAGCTCACAGACCTTTGGTGGCACACAGATCTGCTTTTTACCCTTCCTTTTGGGGGAAAGTACCAGGGGATTGAACTCAGGACTTTGCACTTGAGAGGCCGGCATGGGGCCACAGAGCTAAATCCCCACCTCTACAACTCATTCATATCTTATGCTTTCCACTGTGCCTTAATTGCTGACCTTTCCCAAGCATGAGCACCCTTTTTTATTTCTCTTCAAAACTACTTTCCCCTGTCAAAAGAACTCAGTGATAATTTACAGATGTTCCCAATGGTCAAATTTGGGAGAATTTGAATCCTAAAGAGAATAATGACAACAATGGATATAACCCAGAGAGTAAAATTATCTGTTAGTCCATACGGATGGAAAGTGAAAGGAGGATCAGGGCTTCCTCACCATGAATTTCAGTTGATAAAAGAAAAAGGAATGGGGCTGGGGATTTAGCTCAGTGGTTCTGTGGCCTGACTCGCAAGCACTAAGGTTCCAAGTTTGATCCCCGGTACCAAAAAAAAAAGAAAATGAAAGAAAGAAAAAGGAATGACAAAACCAAAAATCACTATTTGCAAATATCACAATAATAACTATTCAATCCAGAATCATTAATGGAGCTTAATGATTAGGAGATAGTATTACAAATAAAATATTTGCACTGTCTCTAAGTTTCTCCCCATAAGATATTTATTAAATAAAATGGGAAGAAAATACTAATCTTAAGAGTTGTGCAGCCAAGCAGGCACCACCTTAACCAAGTGATCAAAGTTCAATTCCCCAATACTGAGGTGTCTCAATGTCATGTTCCTCCTGTTGTAATGCACCAAGGTTAGAGCATCACTTCTGTGGTATTCCTGTCAACATCTCTAATTTCCTCACAAGGAAGTATCAGACAAGTTGAAAGTGAGTGACATTTTACAAAATTACTGTCCAGTGCTCTTCAAAAGTGTGACAGTATGGAAAATAAAGAATGAGCGAGGAGTTACTCCAGATTAAAGAAGTCTGAGGAGACGTGAGATTGAGACACGTTATGCAAGCTCAGATGGGACTCTAAGTCAGAAAAAAAAAAAAAATCAGTAGGAAAAATGGTAAAGAGAGGTTTGTAGATTAGTTAACAGTATTCTAACAACACTAACTTTTTGGTTTTAACAATTATACTATAATTACATTAGATACTAATGTTTGGGGAAGATATGTGAAGGGTATATAGGGACTATCTATAAAATTCCAGGGACTTTTTTGTAAGTCTAGATTATTCTCAAAATTAAAAATATAAAAGCTATGTCAATGTTTACTCAATGACTTGAACTTAACAAAAACCCCATTTCCTTCAGTAGAGATTAAAAAAAAAAAAAAAAAAAACCTAAGTATACGGCTATAAAGATAGTCCTCAAAAGGACTACATGGAACTTGGTGATCAGCTACAAGTCTCCCAAACTACTTCAAAGTTAGCATAAGTATGAGAACTTAAAACTCAGAAATGGGAGAAGTATTTAAATACTGCATAGGATTAGACAAAATAAAGAATAGCATCTTTATCAAGTTTACATTACTAAGTAGCAAGGGTTTGAAAAAAACAAATGATATTAAATACAGTGACGTGACCTTAAAATAGTGTCTATGATCTCAAATGTACATATTTTGTGTGTATACAAAAGAGATCAATAATGTTGGATTATTAAATTATATATATGAGATAATGTGCCTTCTAAATGTAATTTACAAAACATTTAAACAGGACCTCAGATAATCATAGTCAGCTCTCCAAATGCAATTGACAGAGTTCCCACAAAGAATTTAATTTAACAGAAGGAGCAAATACAGAAGAAATACTCTTTTTACTACACAATACAAATAGAATCTAATCTAAAATTTTAATGGCCTTTTAGGCCAAATGTTAGGTGCCTCGGAACAGAAGAAATGAACTGTTTAACAATGCTACTGTTGATTTGCCAGCTGTGTTTTTCTTCTTGTGTTAATTCACACTCATAAAAAAGAACCCTTGAATGTTTATATTTGAAGTTCCAAAAAAAAAAAGTTCCAGATTTACAAAGATTAAGAAAAACTGGAGAAACATTTTAACTATGAGGACATTATCATTAGGAATAATCAAATTTGAATAAAACTTGAAAGAAATAAAATGAATTTATAGCAATTAGAAAAATATGTATCACTCAAACAGAATAACTGCATAGAAAATATAGCTAAATATTAATAGAACATTGCCACCTTCCAACAAATCCATGACTATATATTACACAATTCAGTTTTCATAGCTATTACTAAAGTCACAACAAAGCATGATGGGCCTAACTTACTGGTAACTCAAACAAATGTAAAGTTTAAATGACTAAAATGATCCTTTGGAAAAACCTCAATTTGTGTTCATTTCACAATTACTCAGACCTAACACCTTTTAAATCAGATTCATGCTAAGCCGGGTGTGGTGGCACATCCCTGTAATCCCAGCATTCAAGAGGCTGAGGCAGGAGGATAGCTACAAACCCAGCCTGGGCTCTGGGCTTACGTAGTGAGTTCCAGGGCAGTCTGAACTACATAGTGAGACAGACCCTGTCTCAACAAAAAAAATTTTTTTCCACGCTATTTTAAATTTTACTCCATTAATTCTATCACTTAAGATGCTCAATATCATCTGCAGAGGGCCTGGGATTTAGTTCAGTGGTTCTGCTGCCTGCCTCGCAAGCATTAAGCTCCCGAGTTTGATCCCTGGTACCAAAAAAAAAAAAAACCTGGAGTAGTAATTATGTGGTTGTCAGCCACTGAACTACTAAAAATTTTTATGCTTTATATTTTTTGGAGTACTTTCCCGTGTCAGATTTACTAACAACTCCTTCTCATATATCTTTTTTTTTTAGAAAAGTAAAGGTAGAAATTTCTATTCCAATGTACAAAATAAGAATGAAATAAATGAACTCAATAAATACAACCCATATCTGAATTACTTTCTTGAAATCTCTGACTTTAATAATAGCTACAATTATTTTAAAATAATTTTGGAATATAGCTTCTTTTAAAAATTAGCTTAAAAATGTCTTTTTTTAGGGGGGGAGTACGGGGGTTAAACTCAGGACCTTGTGCTTGTGAAGCAGGCAGTAGAACCACTGAGCTAAATCCCCAGCCCATCTCTTTCTATTTAACAGAACAATCTTCTTGGCCACTATTTAGCTGTTTAAATCAAACTAAATTAAAATTAACCTACTTAAATGTTAACCATTATATCTAATCGTTTTATTTCTTGCTCTAGAAATATTACTACATTTAAAACTCTTATCGAAGTTATTCAAGTAACTGGATTTTGGCTATTCTAAACTGGTTTTTATAAGATAATCATGAAATGGAATATATAAGAAAACAGTTGCTTAATAAACATAGCATATACCCAGTTCGATTTAAATATACTAATTCTATCTAATAGCTACAATATATAATGAAGATTCTTGGCCTCATGAATATCTTCTTAAAAAGCAAGACTTAAGTGTTTTTATAGAGTATGCTCCAAGGCAGAGTATTTTACTGGTACATTTTAGGTATATAGTATAGTTACATCCATTATTTGGATCTTGTACCTTTACATGACAGGTCTCGGTTCTCATTTTTTCCCCTTGACCCTTCTCAATCCTTTTAAATAAGTAATTGTTTATCATATTTTCATAATGAGGAAGAGTGAGGTTCTTGGGAAATCATGACAAGGGAGTTGGGGCAAAAGGAGGAGAGGATAAAATCAGTTCAACTGCCACTTGGCAAAACGTGAAATAAAATTTCTCACAAGAATTGATTCTATCCTGCTATTTAAAATGTTCCAAATTTTAATGGTAATAAATTGTTTCTGGATTACTAGGCTTGATTTGTTTTTAGGGTTATAATAGAAGAGTCCTGCCAGACCGGAATCCCAAGAGCAATACAAATGAAAACTTTTTTGTTCCTAGATTTTAAAGTCTTTAAGATAAGTGGCTCATTTTTAAAGATACCCTCAGAAGTAACAGGAATAGTCTTATATTTTCATTTAGAAAGGTTTTCTGTAAAGTCAATCAGGAAGCCACCACTAGCTTTTGCCGGATTGTAAACTTTTTCTTATATAGAAGAGATCTTTATTTTTCCTTCCTTCTGAAATCTCAAATACCCAGCAACAAATTTTAAAACCCACATTTTTAGATTTTATATTTGGGTTCTAACCCAACATACTTGTTCTAAAGTATGCAGACTTGACTTGGTACTTTCTGCAAAGGTCATCAAACACTGATAGTTGCTCCCACACTGAAGCAGAAAAGATTCTGCAAGAGGACTCTCCTGGTTCAAACAAATAGTAAAGAATTAAGAGCAATATTTTCCTCCAATTTCATGTTAGAATTTTACTTTCTTATCCTCCAGAAGCACAACTTATCAAATTCTAAAGGATACTTTTCCCAGTGGCTTAGTAATTAGATGCTTTCAAGAAGATTTGTCACTGGGGGAAAAAAAAATCAAATATCCAAATTCTCCTTATTCATCCTAGTATGAGTATCTGGTTCAAACTTAATGTAAATGTATCATAATAATACTACCAGCATTTATGTAGCCCTTCAGAGCTGAAAGTGTTTTTCATATGCTTTGTCATTTCATTCTTCCAATAATCAAGGGATAATATTATTACTACATTCTATTTATGAAAAAATTAGAGCTTGACAAGATTCAGTTATGAACAAGCAGTAGACAAATGCAGTCTGGCAATATAAGAAATTTTTACAATTGGCAGAAAGTTGTCATTGTGGCAGAGTGGGTAGCCAGACCTTGATCCTGGGCTGGAATAGGCTCAGGCATGAGACTATTTCTGGGCTAAGAATAAGTACTTCCAGGTGTATCAGAGAACAGCATCATGAACAGAAACATATCTACATTCTAATAAATCCATAATAAGGGAGAATACCGTAAGCTGTAAATGCCAGATAAATCTAACTACCAAACACCAGAGCTTAGTCTAGCCTACCTTAAAAATGCCCAAGGCACATCAGCCTACAGTTGGGCAAAATGATCCAACAAAACATCTGTTTTATAAATTAATAAAGTGTTGAAATCTCATGTAACTTTTTAAATACTGTACTCAAAAACAGAATGATTGTATGGGTATGCTTTTGTACCACTGTAAAGTTAAAAAAAAATCCTAAATTAAGCCATTGTAAGTCAGGGATAGTTGGGCATACAGAAAATGCTGTTACTGAACCATTCCTGTTTCAGAAGCCAAGCACAGGGTACACATCATAATAGAAAAATATACTGTTGCTAAAACTACTTAACTCTTATTCATTTTTATACAGTAAATAACGTGTCTGTAATATTGGGGATTGAACCTGCCCCTACACACAAACAGAAGAGGAAAAAGTGAGGCTGTTGTACAACACAAAATGCAAGGTTGCTACATTTATTTTAAGGTTCCCCTTTCCATTTATCCTCCATTCCAATTAATTCTGTAACTTTCTAGACAATCCTTATGCATTTAATATCCTGGTATTTACAAAGAAAATTAATATTAAAAGACTGAATACAAAATATCCCATCTCAAGAAACCCTTCTTTTGGGCTGCCGCTATTTAATAAGGAGGACAAGACCATCAGTTAGGCACGCACTGTTCAATAAAGAAGATACTAGCCATACATGGAGTTTTAAATTTAAATTAATTTTAAAAATTGAGTAAAATTTAAAATTCAGTTCCCCAAGGGTAAGGTCCTGAGTTTGATCCCCGGTACCAAAAAAGCAAAAACAAATAAACAAAAATATACTTTATCTTTTGGGACAGAGATTTAGCTCAGTGGTTCTTCCACCTGCCTAACAAGCACAAGGTCCCCAGTTCAATCCCTGGTACAAAAAAAACAAAAACAAAAAAAAAACACCAAACAAACCACAAAACAACAACAAAAAACCCCAAAAAACAAACAAAATTCAGTTCCCTAGTCATATAGTCATGTTTAACCTCTTAGTTGCTATAGGGGGCTTGTGGCTACCATACTGGACACTGCCAATATTTCTATTATCAAAGAAAGATCTATTGGAAAGCCCTGAGTTAATCATCATGAGTCTTCCGCTCCTCTCATTCCTTTATTCTGCTCCCACTCACTTGATTGGAAGAGTGCTTCTTCTCGGGTAAAGAAAGAGCAGTGCTGACTAAACATATCATTTACAGTTTCAGTCAACAAAGGAATCCTCTCTTACAGAAGCGCAGACACTTCGCTCTTCACTGCCATGATGTCCATACACAGCAGAAGGCTCACACACAAAGGGGCGATCTGCTCCTACAGGGTCCTAGTGGCACAGTCCTCACACGGTGGTGTGTGGAGCTCAGCAAAGCTTGCCAAGTGAAGTAGACTGAAGCTTGTCCTCAGCTAGCAAATTGTATTTCCCCACTGATCAAATAAGTTTTTCAGAATAAGGACTATTAATTAAAACAAGAAAACTTACCTGCATGTAGAAAGAGGAGCAAATTGAACACCTTTCTCTTTGCATTCCCTTCTTATTCTTTCTTTTACATTTCTACAGAGATCTATAACCCTAGAAAAGATAATTACAGTGTTAAGTTTCAAATGACAACTACACAAATTTTAACAAGCATTGGTTTATTTGGCATCCTTCAAGTCTGAAATTCTTGTAATTAAAATTTTCAAGTTCTTTATCTTGACTCTAGAAAATGGAATTTAAGTGCTATCACTAAGTAGTCTAAAGATAGTAGTCTAATCCAGGGGCTGGGGATTTAACTCGGTGGTTCTGCCACGTGCCTCAAACTCAAGACCTGAGTTCGATCCCTGGTACCAAAAAAAAAAAAAAAGATACTAATTCAATCCATCTGATTGTATAGTCCTTTGGAAGTTAAACAGCTGGGTGGACTAGATTTCAGTTTAAATGCATTTTTATGTATTTATTCCTCATAAATGCAATAGGAAACATAGACATGTTAAGACCTGATTGTACCTAAACCCTCATTGGTAGCTAGATAATGAAGAGGAGATGGAAGAAGGAACAAGACAGCTTATAATCGCCAATGAGATACTTTCCATACAGATTTGCAGGGAGCAGAGTTCTGAAAGTATTCTCTCTTAGAACTTGAATGAGGTTCAATATAGCCCAATGGACTAATCATTTTATAGGACATAAACATAGCTATATACTTTTAAATTCTTACTTAAAATACTAGCAAATTTAGCACTGTTGATCATTTCTTCCTTTCCTGGGATTTTTTTGTTTTATCTCTGGATTTTCCCCAAATGCCCTAGAAATAATTTCTCAAATCTTACTTGCCAGCTTCCATCTGTATGACTATCCCACGTATGCTGAGGTTCTGGGGGCTTCTTTCACAAGCCTTATTTTCTTTCACTCCATACTATCTATAAGTATTTGTTTTAATCACAAGACTCCTACTGATATCTCCAAAACTTAAAATCTCCAATTCAGTAGCACAACTATTTTTCTAGACTGCAGTCTCTTACTATTCTAGAATTCATTTATAACACTATGCAAAATATTCACTGAGCACCTAACAGGTGCAGTCATTGTTCTGGGGCCAGTTTGAGATACACAAAGACTAGTCACATGGATTAACTCCTCACATGTCTTTTGCATGAAGAGGCCACTGACCTAATAATGTGTTCAGGTGAAGATACTCATACTTCAGTTTACTGTGGAAGATGGTCTCTAGCTAAAAGTCAGAAATCAAAGCAAGTTGCTAAACAGCTAGCAAGTACATTTTTCATTTTAAAAAAGTGCAGCTGTGTTCCATTAATGCTATTTATTAAAATTTCAAGTAAAGAAATTGCTTTAGCTGGGTGTGGTGGCGCACGCCTGTAATCCCAGCACTCGGGAGGCTGAGGCAGGAGAATCACTGTGAGTTCAAGACCAGCCTGGGCTACATAGTGAGTTCCAGGTCAGTCTCAACTACATAGTGAGATCCCTGTCTCAAAAAGCTAAAAAAAAGAAGTTGCTTTTAAAACCCAAATATGTAGCTCTACATAAAATAGAAATTGTCAATCAGTTAAGTAAATATGTAAGTATATATGGGAATGGATGAACAAAAATAAAAAGACAGCACATGACTAGCTTCCCCAATTGGGAGAATAAAAAGGTTAAGATAGCAAACACCAGTCAGTATTAACTGATGATGAGGTAATTTACAATGCTTAAGAGACAACAAAATATAAACCCACTTTCTCTAGCCATAAAGACTGCAGCGTTTGCCTGCCCCCAAATTCATACATTGAAAGCCTAATCCACAAAGTGACAGACAGCATTAATAGGTGAGGCCTTTAGGAGGTAATCACAAGGCTGGAGTTCTCATGAATGGCATTTGAGCCCTTTTAAAATAAGAAAGGGCTTCCTTTCTCTCTGCTTTCCACAATGTGAGGCTAAAATGAGAAGATGGACATTTACAAATGAGGAAGACAGCCTGTACGCTGGCACTCTGATCTTAGACTTCAAGTCTCCAGAAATCTGAGAAGTAAAATCTTTGTCTGTGATATTCCATATAAGCAGCCGGAACTAAGAAACCAAGCATTAAAGACTACAATTGTCTTTGAAACCACTAGGAAGAGCTGCAAAACTATTCCTGCTGCTCAAAGTATTAGATGTCAATAGCTGGTAATTCTCTGATTTATAAGATTTAGTCCCCTTGTTAAAAATGAGCATCAAAAATTGTAAAAACAAAGATACAATAAATTTGGTAATTATCTAACAATATATGGAATATGAGTACCAATGTACTAACCCATCACAAACAAATGCAAAAAAAGAAGTTTCCTAGGGAAACAAAAATATCCAAAAAACAAAGACAAAAACATTGGGAGAGAACAAAATGTTAAGATATGTAATATCACGGGGCTGGGAATTTACACCACCTGCCTTGCAAGTGCAAAGACCCGAGTTCAATCCCGGTTACCAAAAAAAGATAGGTAGTATCAGAACAAAAAATTTATGGAGTATTTGTTAAAGCTGATAAACTTTATTGTATGTTTAAAATATTCTGTAAATTCAGTAAGGAAAAATATAGGCATACTCTTAAGAAAATAAAAACACATTGATAGTCTCCTTAAAAAGTTTATTACTGAATGAAAAATTCCAAGTACATTTTCTTTTTTTTTTGGCAGCAGCGACTGAACTTGGGTCCTTGTGCTTGCAAGGCAGGCGGTGGAACCACTGAGCTAAATCCCTGGCCCTTCCAAGTACATTTTCAACAAAACTACTTCACATTTCCTAATCATTTTTTTTCTCTCATTGAGTTTATTGATACATTTTAGGTAGACAGTACAGTTACATTCATCATTGGGATCTTGTACTTTTATATGACAGGTCTTGGTCCGCATTTTTTCACCTTGTCCCTGCCCTCCCTTCATCCTCTCCTCCCCTCCCCTTTTACAAACACTTTATTTCCATTTTTTCATTTTCTCATATTTTTTTCTTTTCCCCTTATTACCTTTCCCCTACCCTTCCCACTTTCCCTACACCTTTAGCCCTTTTCTTCCTATTTCACATTGTCAATCATATCATTAGGATCTTATGTACAATTATAGTTTTCACACCAGAGAAACTATTTCCTAATCATTTTTTATTATTAATTTCCTAACCAATACACGCATGTGTATTGTGTGTGTACTGTGTGTGTCTATGTGTCGGTTTCCTGTGAAAAAACCTAGATATTTATTTCCATTTACCTATTTCAGCCAATTCTTATAAAATCCTCCAGTATTATATTAGTTTTGCTTAAATTTAAAGATAAAAATTATACTTAATTTCTTAAATTAGATTTCTTTCAGAAAATTACAAAGTTAAAATCTTGCTTAACATATATACACATACAAATATCAAAAGCTAAATATGTACTAATGAGCTGTATAATTTGACAGGAATTTCTAGAGAATATTGAAGCATTATCAATCACTTAAGAATTTAAATCAAAGCTAGGTAGAACCACACAGTGGTTGAGTATTTAGTAAGACTTTTCAAAAATGTAAACATCAATAATATCATCATCTTTTGCATCACAAATCTGTCTCCCAACCAAAACAGGTGGGGCTTAAAATGTGGCACTGTGGAAAAGACAAGTTAAAATAAAAGTACATATCTTATTTCAAAGTTTTTTCACAAAATGTTTAACTTTTACATATTCACACATAGAGATACATTAATTCAGCAATTCATAATGAATATTTGAATAATATTAGGCATTTTATTATATTTTACCTGTCCCAAGGAGCAGAAGTCTCAAAAGATTCTCCTATTATACAGTACTCCAAACCCAGGTCCTGTTAAGGCACACAAAAATAACAAAAACTACAACACATGAAATAATCAAAAATAGTATTAGTATTTCAGATAATTGTTAGTATTAGTTAAAGTTAGTACTTTAATCTCTACTGCTCTCCACTATCTGTCTCCTAAAAGCACTAAGTTTTTCCTGAGAATTAGGCAGAACCTCTCTGAGGACAGGAACTTGATCTGTCTTGCTTCTTTTTGTATCCTTGGTTAGCTAACCGAGTGCCTGACACAGAATAGGACCTTAAATATTTCTTCAGGGAATGGAATCTCTCTCTAGGAAATGTCTATGCACATATAGAGAAGACTAGAAGAATAGATTTTTTAGTGGCTTAAATAACAAATAAGCCACAGTGGGAGCACTCCCACAAGCCCAGCACTCTGGGAGGTCTGAGGCTGAAGTGTCATATGTTTGAACCTAGCATGCACAATTTAGCCACTTAATGAGACACTGACTCCAAATAAAAGAAAACAAAAAGGGCTGGGCACATAGTTCAGCGAAAAGGCCCGGAGTTCAATCACCAGTACTGTTAGGAAAAAAAAAAGTATGTTCAGGCATGGTGGCACACACCTGTAATCCCAGCACTCTGAAGTCTGAGATAGGAAGATTGCCACGAGTTCAAGGCCAGCTGGTGCTACACAGAGTTCATAGCAAGATGCTGTCATGTCTGTCTACATAGCAAGACACTGTCTCAAAACAAACACAAACTCAAACAAACAAATATAAAAACTCATCATTCAGATGAAAGGAATAGGAAGTAGAGAAGAGGAGGAATAAGGGAAAGCCAAATTCTCAGTAGGATATCTGAGAAATGACCTTTTAGAATAAGATAATTTAAATTACACAGCAGCCAATACAGGGGGAAAAAAGTAAGCCAGTAAGAACAGAAAAAGATAAAGAAATCTGAGTTTGTTTTAGTCAAGGCATGAAAACTAAATAAATGAAGGGAAAAAAGTGCAAAAAGAATATAAGAATAGCTGACTTCAAATGACTAATGAAGTTTCTCATACGCAGAAAATCTACAATTAGAAAAACTTTAGCACTCAAATATACATAAATTATTTCTGTATAACAATCACCAGTGAACCATAACAACTTAGTAATAAGTTTAATATCAATTTTTAAGACATAGTTAAAAACATATATATTATTTATATATTATATAAACAATTTATAAAGTAAGAAATGTTACCAAATAAAACAGAGTTCTAACCAACTAATGTTTAAAAAGGCTAGTACAACTTTTGGACAATAGCTCCATTATTTTAAAAAGCAGAAAGACATTAAATCATATTTAAGTTATTTAAAAGCATATGTAGAGCTAGATGTTGTACTGCACACCTGTAATCCTAGCACTCAGGAGACTGAGGCAGGAGGACTGCCATAAGTATGAAGCTAGCCTAGGCTACCTAATGAGTTCCAGGCTGTCCTGAACTACAGAGGGTATTCCCTATGTCAAAGAGAGAGAGAGAGAAAAAGTAAAAGTAGAAAGTTTAAAGGGGGTTCTGAAAAGTCACAGCTAACCCAGGATTCCTGTAAAATAATGTACCAAATTACAGTATATTAAATGTTCTAAGAAAATAAAAAAGATAACTTTATTTACACAAAGTAGGAAGTACTGTTCATAACATAAGAAAATGACAAGAGAAGTATTAACTTACTCGTATGTATGCGATGACATAGGTCAGCAAATAACCTCTCTGTCCATTATCTTCCCCAGCTGCTAATCCACTGTAATTTATAAAGAAGTTAACATGTTTTAAATGAGCTATTTAAATATGTAAAACTAACCAGACTGATATACCTCAAAATAACTGCTTAACAGATTAACAAACACTACACTGCATTTCACTTTTACCTTACTCAGATAACAAAAATCCAAAAACATTTTTAATAGGGCTGGGGATTTAGCTCAGTGGTGCTGCTGCTTGCCTTGCCAACACAAGGTCCAGAATTCTATCTCCAGTACCAAAAAAATAAAAAAAAATAAAAACTTTTTAAATATTTCAATCTAGTTATTACTTTCAAACTTTCATTACCACACTAATAAAACTGACTCATGTCAACTATTTCTCATGTTGTCAAAATAGCAGAGAAAGAATTAGCAATGAAAAACAAGCTTCAAAAAACTTATTATTCAAATGCATAACAAAATACTTTAAAATATTCTTATTTTACTCATGTAGGTTGAGCAACCATAAGCTGAAAAATCCAAAATGCTCCAAAACCCCAAAATTTTTGTGTGTCTATAAGATGCCATTGTGGAAAATTCTACTCTAGTTTATGAAAGTTAATTTTATTTTAAAAGATAACAAATGAATACTGCTTTTCACTACCTTTAGTAAATAGTTACTATTCTTTTTCCATTAGCAGATCAATTTTAACTTGTTTTAGTAAACTAAACAAGGAATCATCTCTCTTATGGCGTCATTTGACATAATTAAATCCTTTCTTTTTCTGAAGTTTTGCTGGATTTTATGCTAAGTAAATAATACATTATAGATATACCCTTTGTTCTATACAAATGCTTTAAAGCAGTTTTGGGGTAGAACATACAGGCTGAATCAGAATTTCCTGACTTACTACTATAGATAGATATGTGCACAATACTGTCATCAAGAATGAGTGGAAACAACTTGATAGAAGCAGCCCTAGTCTAGAACTACTTGACAAATGAAATGAAATGAAGGAGATTGTATTAATGAGTGCTAATAAGCAAGCAAGAAAGAACTTAGGTCAAGCTGCTGACAGTGAGAAGAAGAGACAGCAAAACAATTCTGGGTTGAATGTGAGGTTAAAGGTAGCAGGAAATATGAAATAACATTTGAAAAAAAGTCAAAATTTTGTTCTAGGAAATGCTTGGAGGAAGACTGCAGAAACTGCAGCTTAAATATGAAATAGAGACAAGGAAAAAAAAAAACCTATTACAGATCTAGGAAATAGAAAGGGATTCACCCTGGACCTAGAAGAAGGAAGAAAGGAAAAGATATTGAAGGCTAGAAAAGGAAACAACAAACCTATGCTGGGATTCTCTGAAAAGGAGCGTGCTCGGTATGATATTTGGTGGAATTAAAGGTGTGACCATTAGTAAGTAAGCCTATCTTTGTTACATCAGGATGAGACAGTCCTTTTCAGCTCCCAGTCCAAGCTTTTTGGATTGTGTTGCAACATTTAGGGGAGAAGGAGCTGTACCATGCTCCATATCATACCAAATCCATGAGACAAACACAGAAACATGAATTTTAAAAATCTAACACAGAAAGAAACTGAAACTGGATGTCCATTCTAAATTAACCCAAAGAAGAAGAGTGAATCTGGGCTTGCTTTTCGAATCAAATTTTCCTGCAAATTCAGCTTTTTGGAACTTTTTTTTTAAGCTTTCAAAGCTGTGAGGCTTACAGCTAGAATTACTTTATACTACAATATGTAAATAATCACAGAGCTTAGAAATTAAATGCTTCTAAACTGCCACTTCTGCAGCCACTCCAAAAAAATACATTTAAGTATTCTTTTTCTTTGGTACCGGGGATTGAACTTGGGACCTTGCACTTGTGAAGCAGGCCACGGCACCACTGAGCTAAATTCCCAGCCCAAAAAACTACATTTAGATTCCAATTGCTTTAAAGTAGCAACATACATCCCCTATTTCCTGCTCTCCTCACAAATTCAAACATGAATTCTGATATTTAAAGCTATCCATGAGGGAAAACTAGGAAGACTAATGAAAGAGAAATGAGAGACAATTGTTTTATATAAAAGGGCCATCTGGACAGGGGGAAAAAATGAGAACCAAGACCTGTCATGTAAAGGTACAAGATCCCAATAATGAATGTAACTGTACTGTATACCTAAAATGTACCGATAAACTCAATGAGGAAGAAACAAAAAAGGGCCATCTCGTGAACCTAATCACTCTCGTGTTAAATTATGTTAAACACTTAAGCATACTTTAAAAATAATGATAACACATTCCCTTTAGTTCTATGGTAAATGTCAAAACACCTGTCATGAGCACTGCAAAGGAGTGTTTATTTTGCTCAGTTCTTAGTAAAGTAAAAGTGCATTACTAGCAAATATAGATAAACAGCTGATGTATGATTTAAGTATGATTATTCAATGTCTGACTACTACGTTCTGTTGGGTCATATATGTTCAAAGGTACTGAAGAGGGTTGGAAGGGAGGGTGAAAGGCAATGAGCAAAAAGGCTAAAGCAACAGAAAACAACACTGAACTGTTAAGAGTACTTTGTTAAAGGCAATCCATTTCAGTTATTTAAGCAATGGGAACAGAAGTAAAACAAAAAAAAGAGCAAATAAAGGATAGATTAATAATGTCTAAAAATAAAATATACTAGTTAGACTAACATAAAAACTTTAGCAGAAGGGAACTTTATAGTACCTTTCTCCAAATTGTTAAGCAAAAAAAGGAAATGACTAAGGATTCGGGATTGGGCAAGCAAGGATACCATATATAAGAAAAATATCCCTGGAATAGAAATAAAGGGTCTAAGGGAGAAGGGGAAGTGGGAAGGGTGAGGAAAGGGAAATAGAGAAAAAGAAAAAAATGGAAACAAAGTCTTTGTAAAGAGGGAAGGATGAAGGGGGTTAAGGGAGGGCAGGGGTATGGGGAAAAAACAAGAGCCAAGATACATTACACGGAGGTACAATATCCCAGTGATGAATGTAACTGTACTGTTTACCTTAAATGTACCAATAAATTTAATGAAAAAAAATCTATGGGCCAAGGATTTAGCTCAGTGGCACTGTGCCTGCCTGCAGAACATCCTAAGTCAAATTCCCAGTAGAAAAAGAAAAAAAAATCCCTTAGTCTTCAATAATTGGAACAAATTATTACTGTCAACAGCAAACTGGTGGGCAAACAGGACCACTGCTAGAAAACCCAAAAGTGTTTCCAAGTGTTACAAAATCAAAACAGTCCTAAATCATCTCTCTAATGAAAATCTGAGTTGTTCAAAGCAGATTTTCTTATCCAAATGAAGACAAAATTAAAGTACATTAAGATATTAATTATAGCAGAAAGGAACAAATAAAAGCCAAAATGGCACCCCAATATGAGCCAGTTTTTTAAACATTTTATCTTTGCTTTAAATTGATATCTTATTCACTAAATCTATTTTTAATAAAAAATTACATAAATTTTGTTTAGAGTAAGCAAAATTGCTAGAATTAAATCAACAGTTCTGGGGGGCCTTGTATCAGTACCTGAAGAGAGCTGCATCTGCTATTTTAAAGATTCAAATTTATTTTTAAGTTGCGAATGGACAGTTACATAAGAAAACCAAACTGGCATTACTGATACTCACAGGGGCTCATATTGATCAAAACTAACAAATATCTAAAGATTTCAATCCCCTTTCTTACAAGCAGTAGAATAATTAGAAATAAATGAATTACAAAAAGACATAAGGAAAAAATATATTATTCAGCTTAATTCATTTAACAAAAATTTAATCTAGCACCTAGTATTTTCCAGGCTTCACCAGTGATCCCCAAAGAAGAGATATGTCATGCTCTACAATTACAAATAAAGTAGAACAGTCATTTTTTATAATCAGCCTACCCTAGTCAAACAGCAAATATGGCACATTACTAACTAGTAATGATTAGCTAGATGCTCCAAACTATAATTGTGTGTGTGTGTGTGTGTGTGTGTGTAATGGGAATAGGGGAAGAATGAGGATGAAACTAAATAAATTTAATCTTCTATTCAGCATTCAAATACTACAGGAAACTATCCTCTCCAATTTACCTCAAGTCCTTCTGGAAAATTTTGAAATCCCAATTAAATATTTAAACATAAAATTTTCCTTATAAAATTTTTTTAAGTTTCAATCACTAATATTTAAGGCTAGAGCAGATATAAAAGATTTCAACTTAAATCTCCTTAATTACTTTTGTCCAGACTCATACCATTTTCAGAAGGGAAAAAAGCCTCTTAATCATATTCATATAACTTAGAAACTAAAAATAGGTACATACAATGCTAAACTCCTTCTGGGAAAGAAAGCACACACATTTCAAAAATTCAAACAGAAAAAAAATGACTTGAATTCCAAGTTAGTCATTAAATGAGTATCTGTGTAACATATTACTTTAAACTAATTTAACTAAAACACTGCAATTCCCCCCAAAAAAGATACTGTAGGAAGAGAAAGGGTGAAAGACTAGCAAACTTTTACCATTTTTTAAAAAAATTAAAATGTACTTGCCAATTTCAGAATAGGATAAAACTGATTTACTATTACTCAAAAAAGTACAAAAATGAACTAAAAATTAATTCTAAGAATACCATACTTAAATTCAAAGTCATAGAAGTTGTATATAAAAAGAGACACAAAAGAGGGTCACTCAAAAACACAGCTCCATGTGATTTATTATTTTAAAGGGAAGGGATAGAACAGAAATATTTGTAGGGAACTCACACTAAGAATAATGTATATTATACTTTAACCTCTGAAATAAAGATGGTTAATGACTAGTATCTAGAAAACAGTTTACGTACTTCAAAAAAAAAAACCCCTGTGGTCCTGATAAATGGCATTTCCACTATAGTTCTCATCTATCAATCTTATAATCCATCAAGCAGGCAGATAAGAACCACCCTGTCATTACTCAGCAGGTTATACATGTGAAATGTTTTCTGTTTCTTTATATCAGAACAAAACAGTAAGTGATAGGGGGTGGACTACAGATAATTAATCAAAAATCATGGAGTAAACATAATTTCCTTTTAAAAGCATACTAATAGCATATTTTATACATACCCTTTTCTCACTAAAGAATAACGTGACAATGAATTTTTTTCTATTTTATTCTAACATAACATATAACAAAATATCACCATATTGGTATTAGTAAAAAACAGTCTAAAATAATAAAATAATATACTAATAAATAATTACACAACAGCAATATATGTCAATCTAACTTACTGTAAATTTTGGAAGTAAACCAAAATAATATTTTTAATTTACTTTCATAAATTATCACAAATTTGATATTAAGTTCAAATTAATAACTGCATGCAGACAAGCAAACTATTTGGACACATTAATGCCTGGTTCATTAATAAATGTTTGGAGCTATCACAATTTTAAATTTTCTCTTGATATTATGAACTTAAACCATACCCAAATTTTGCAGCAATATCATACACTTGTTTTTCATGTTGAAGAACCTTCTCGCGGTCCCCCTCAAACAATAATGTGGCTACACTTAGCTGATTTGGATCAAATCCCTTAAACTACAAAAAAAAAAAAGTAAAACAATATTATTACAGATAACTTTTATTTTGCAAAATAGCAAATCAAAATACATTTCCCTTTTCCCTCTGATCTAAACTCTAGTACAAGTTGTTAAAAGCTTTGAAACTTTACATGTCAATAACAAGAATGCTTTCTGCATCTATTTGAGCCATTACAATGTAACAAACCTATACAGTACACCAAAAACATCTTTCAAAGTATGCCATGGTGTTAATCATAATGACATTTGCAAGCAAACACAAGAAATACTTCGTGAGAATCAAATAAAAAGTACAAACAGACAAAAATAGTCAGAGTATGGGAGGAAAAGCCCAACAATATCCCTATGTAGCAGTGATTACTCACTAAATAATATTTTTTCAAAAATCTTGTGTGCAATATTAAAGAAGTAACCAAAGCTAATCTAAACATATCAATTCATCATGAAAGCCTGTTAAGAAAGATACATGCTCCTGAACGCAAAAACTATTATTACAAACCTGTCAATACTAGCTAGCTCAAATTAATGTTAGCTCATTCCAATTCTAATGGACTTTTGAAATGAATAGCTTCTAAAATAATAAAAAGGTAGTGATGCTGATGACAAGGAAATTCTGAATAACAAGAGAGGTGAAATGGACTTACAACAATTATATCAATTTAATTTTTCAAGAACAAAAAGGTCACTAAAAAGAATTACATGTTAAAATGAAGAACATTTAGTGGATAAGTACTATAAAAGATTATCCTAGGCATGGCAAACCAATGTAAGTGAAGCAAGAGTTAGTTAATGGTGGTGACATAACTGGATGGCAAGTGGGTAGTGGGAGGGAGGTAAAGATTAACTTAGATATTTATCTCATTATAAAATTGAAATGCATTTAAATAATAAAACAGAAAAAATTTAACTGTCATATAACACAAAACAGAGATGGAGAAGCAAATGGCCCTCATCATATCTCTGAAGAAAAGGAGACCTTTCTAAGCTTAGAAGCAAATGATCACAAGAAAAAATACGAAAATGAGAAACATTACCACTAAAACAGAAAACTTCCTATTAGACTAGAAACATTTACTTATGAAATTTATGATGAAGAGCATCTAATAATTCTACTAGTCAAAGGACCCCTATCAAAGCACCAAGAAGAAACAAGAATCTGCCATCCTGACAAAATAATCATATCCAACTATATCAGAAAAATTATATCTAAAAAATATAGAAGTGTTCAATATCACTGGAGTTTCAAGAAATATCAATGAAAATAAAATGCTATTTCCTCTTAGCTAAATTTAAAGTATACCAAAGCAAAACAACAACAAAACCCAGATGCACTAACAAGGTTACAACAAACAAAAATGACACACTTTAATGTGTCATTATGACAACACTCTAATGGTTGTACAAGTTAGTATAACCTTTTAGGAAAGCAATTCAGCAATCAAAGGTTAAAAGAAGTCTGTACTATTAAAAAATGTTATAAGCGTTAGACCATTCAATGCAGAATTATTTTTAGAAACTCCAAAACCAGAAAACGGAAATTTCTAAAATGGAATGCATGACTGTCTTGATAAAATATTACTCCAATATAAAAAAAACCCAGTAATTATAAAATATGCAGCAACATGGAAAAACATCCTTATAATGGGTGAGTTTGAGAAGGCAGAAACAAAACATAGTATATACTGAGCATTTAAAATTTTAGCATATAAAAATCCTTACTTTTGTAATATAGAATTTTTTCAATCCATCCAAAAATGATGTAAAAATAGAGGAAACCTGAGGTTTAAGAGCATGACCTACAAGAGAAAACATTTCATATTAAATTAATAGCAAATTCTGTGGTTTTTGGAAGAACACAAGGCTATCTCAACTTAGTAACCTAAAAGTAAAAGGTTTTGACTAATTTTTAAATATATACATATAAAGGCATATATACATATATATACTTTCATACATATACTTATACACACACACACACACACACACACACACACACACATATACTTTTCTTTCAAAAGTCACAAACTTTTTATTTACAAAACCCATTATCAGTTCATTAACTCAAATTACTATATGTAATTAATATTACACATAGTTTAGGTTTATGTTTCAATGATAGTTGTACATAATAAAACTACTTCATTAATCTTTATTTCATTAAGAACATCCAGTGGTGGCTAGTTTTACTTTTTTATTTTTTAATTATTAGAAGTCACTCAGAACTATAACTAAATATGGGGTTGTTGCAAAGTTTAAGGTAGTTTCTTAATTAATTCTTAACTCATCCAGAATTCTTGGCATAAAACTAGCAATTGCTTCCTTAATCACACCCAGAGAGTTAAAATTGCCAAAATAACATAAAATGGTGTTTCAGAGTCTGTTAAATTAACATCTTTGCCTGCAGATTAAGCTTAATTGAATGAAAACCTTTTACTGTTTTCTCATTGTTTCCAGAGAGCAGCAACTTCTCCATTCCCATGACTGTTACATTTAAGAATCATGCATCTGGATGTGGTGCTATGAGCCCAATTCAGAAAAATGGCTTAGCGTTTATACAGAATTTTTACAAAGAATTTTAAAGTCTTTTACTTAGTAAATCCAAAATTATCTCCAAATAGGTTTATTTTAGAAAAAGGCTTTAAGGTTTTGGGATTTTGCTTAAAGTATAGGAATTTCCTTTTTAAAAATGCAAACAGTAAGCAAGCTGTTTCTACAACTATTTCTGGTACCTTTTTTCCCAGTCTATTTTTAAAATTGAGTATATGAATCTAAAATATTTACTTACCATAGTTTTGTTGATTATAAAGAAGCTGTGTTACATAAAAGACCAAGTAATGTAAGTCTTAACCAGAGGCTAAGAGTTAGATATTTATGCTATAACTGAGCCACAAAAATGAAGCAACAAAACAAACTACAGATTACATAGAGATCAATCTAGCAATCTTTTTGAGCTCCTGGATCAAAAACAAAATATCTACAGGATTTGTTTTTTATTCTAACCTACCAGAGATGCTTCTAAGCATAACCAGTGCTTTAAAAGATACCATTTGTAGAATGTATAAAGTCAGAAATAACACATCATCTAAACATTCACTTCCTGTACCAAATAGAACTAATCTTAAATAATCCTTAAGGGTCAATGTTCACCTTAACCCACTGTCATTTATGTGCATAATTTCCATTTTACTGGTGAGAATTAGTCACATATATTGGGAATACTGAGCCAACATGAGTTTTGAAGAATAAATTATTGTGAAAGTGATACTAGTTTTTAAGTAGGTCAAGCATTTGCATTAGCTAGAGGATAGTACCTTTAATTTTTCGTAAATTAATATTGCTATCAAATTAATAACAGTCTAAATATATTCCAGCTAGTGTGTTTTACATTTATAGCAAGCTAGTTTCCAAATTTACTAGCTGGACAGTTTGAGAGTGAAACTGTATGTTAATTACATATGATTATGTAGGCTTCAAAGAAGTGGTCTAAGACAACAGAAAAAGTCTTGGGCTTCGGAGTCACACAGATGGAATTCAATCTCAGTTGTACTAGAGGAAGTGGTGATATTAAAAATATTAACAACTAATAATACAGCTTGTACTTTACAAACAGTGATGAATCAGCAAGATGTCTACCTACAGAGTCCTGATACCCCTTGTGAACCACTATTCTTTTGGTTGCTAGATCACAAACCCATGGTAATAATTTGTTGATGGAAACACTTCAAAGGACACTTAGGAATGAAAAAGGTTATAGTCAACCAAGAAACATGATCAGATCTATATGATATCGGTGGCTCAGTAAAGCGCAGAGGGAAGAGGAAACACAGTCGAGACTAGGACCTACTGTGGAGCTAGAAGGGAGTCTGTAAGCACACTCTTAGGTATAATGAGAACTGGAACAGGAAGGAAAGCCAATTATAACTAGACCCCAATTATAAGTATAATAAATAAAATATGGTCAAATTTTAGTTTTACAAATGTTGTCATTTATCATATAATTTACTACAACAATAACATGTTTTTGTTTGTTTTTTGGTGGTACAAGGGATTGAACTCAAGACCTTGCGCTTGTAAGGCAGGTAGCAGCACTACTGTGCTAAATCCCTGGCCCCTATATTGTGTGTGTGTTTTTTTTAAAATGACATGTGAATATATAACATGAATCTCAAGACCTATATGCCTGAATGTAGGCCCAAACACATAGAAGGCATGATTTGCATTCAAATATCTCATTATTTACAGGAGACATTTACTTTTAACTTTTGTTTATCAACACTATAGCATTTTGAAAGTATTTACTTAAAGAGCTAAACACTGTGACTTAGAAGAATTTAATTTAAAAACTAACTCTGGATATGTTATGAATCTGATTTCATGTGTGTGTGTGTGTGTGTGTGTGTGTGTGTGTGTATACATGCAAAGGAATATATATATTTATAAATACATATACTTATAAATATATATACTTATAATAATCATTTCCCCTAAAGTCTAAACTGGTCTTAAATATAACAATCAAAATCTTCCTGTCTTAACCTTTAGTACTCATTACTGAGCAGTCATTTCCATAATTTTAGGAACCATTTTGAGGGTATTTAAATTCTATAAACTTAAATTCTAAATTTCAGCATATGAAAAGTGTATGAAAGCTATAAAAATACAACTGAAAACATGATTAGTGTCAAAAGTTTAATATTTTAGCCAAAATAGAAAAAGAAAAATATTTTGATACACAACTGCCTACTGAATTCCCCACCCAAATATCGCAATGCACTTTAGCTATAACCCACTGTAATATCTTTTACCCAGAGCACCATTTCTACTTCTTACTACTAATCAACCAAATCAAATCTGGGCATTGTCCTCAACTCTTCCTTTTTTTTAACATCTGATATCCATTTGGTTAAACTGATTTTCTAAAAGTCTATCTACATCCATCGCTACATCTTTACTCAAAGTAAATGTATACCCCAAATTTGCCTCTTAAACTGTCCCACCGCCCATCATCTCTCTTCCACGTCTGTATCTGCCAGAATGAGCTTTCTAAAAGGTAGAGCTGACTAATCTCATTTCCTCCACAAACTTGTCTTGCTGACAAGATAAAAATCTAAACATATTGGAAAGCCCTAAATGGCCCATCCAGCTTTCTCTAACATCCTTTATTTACCCTCTATTTGAGGCACCCACCCCAACTCAGATCACCGTACAACATGCAGAGAAGAAAAGACAATCTCTGGCAAATCTTCAACTCATTTTTGAAGACTGAGTTCAATCATAAACCTCCTTCAAAAGCCTTTTTTAGACTCTTTGCTCTTTAGTTTGAGTAAAGTCAAAACGAATGAAGCCCTCTTCACTAACAGTATCCAGTGTAGCTGCCTCTCACAACACCCAGCACTGCTATGTTCATCACCCACATAACTGTCTCCCCTCTCTGGATGGGGTAGTCCCAATGGGCGAGGACTTTGGTGCTCATCATTCTAGGTCTGCAAGTTTCAACTACATGAGAAGATTCTCAAATTGCCACTTAACACTTACCGAACTGAAACTGCTGGTTGTCCATAAGGCGGATAGATGCAGGAGCACATCTCTGTTTGAAAAAGGAAAAGATCACAGTATTCATTAAATACAGTAAGAACCTAGACATGTAGAACATAAATGTCATTTTTGTACTAAAAAGATCAAGAACTTAGTTTCAAATATTACAGAAGAAAAGAATCTTAACCTATATAACTTCATGAAGAAAAAACATCACTGGCTTCTATAAAATGTATGGAGAAAGCCTCCATACATAACAGAACCTCAAGAATCACACCATTTATGAACTGTATCATATTAAGGTCTTAGATACACTTAAAATGAGAAAATGGTGGTGAAAATGTCCATGTGCAAGAAACACTTTTAAAATTATCTGCAATGTCTTTATAGACAACTCTAGGAATTTTTCCCTTCTATTTATTCTTTCTTATAATCCCTTTTAAATGGAAAAGGCATCCAGAGAGGGTCCAGGTTTCTAAGTTCTTTCAAGGTTACTTGTATGACAACATCAACAAAACTGTGAAAAATAAGATTATCTGAAGAATCAAAAACTGCACCACTGTTGTATTTATTTAGGCACTTGCTAAAAGTTGCAAAGAGAGAAAACTGAGGAAAGCAGATACAGGCGGAACATTACTAATCCAAAAATCTGAAGTCTAAAATGCTCCAATATCCCAAATATCTTAAGTTCTGACTTTGCTACATTAAATGTTTCAGTTTCTGAAATATTCTGAATTTTCAGATCAGGGATGCTGAGCTGGTAAAATCTATACAAACATTTTCTTTTGGTTTTTTGAGACAGGGTCTCACTATGTAGTTCAGACTGCTCTGGAACTCACTGGGTAGCCCAGGCTGGTCTCGAACTCACAGCAATCCTCCTGCCTCGGCCTCCTGAGTGCTAGGATTACAGGCATGCGCCACCATGCCCAGCTATAGAAACATTTTCAAGTCTGAAAAACTCCAAAATCTGAAACATTTCCCATCCCAAGCATTTTGGGTAAGGGATAGTCAACCTGCACTCATGTTAATTTCTGATGATAAAACACTACAATGTAAATACTAAAGTTCAAGTTAGCTACAATTTCTTTACAGAATTAAACTGAGCTGAACCTCAAACAGGATTGATTTTAATTTTCTATGCAAATTTAAACATGGCTAAAGTTCTGCAAGAGGTTGCTTTTAGACCACAAAATTTTGACAAATTCCATAAATTTAAACATTTATCTTCTCATTTTTATCAATGAAATTTATATCAACACAAATTTGACTCATTCAAAATAAATTACACAACTTAAATACATTATAACATTTTTATCATTTTCTTTAAATTGAATATTTAATACTTATAAAATAATACAAATTTTATTTCACTCAATAAAAAGACTAAATATGATCCTAACTTTGAAGACTTTATTTTCCTTTGATTCTAAAGATTGGATAATTCATTCTTAAAAAGCCACTGCCAAGACTTAAGAAAGAGTATTAAATAATTCTATATGTACATCATAACTTTACATTTTAAAGAATCCTATGCTTTCCAAGCTCCTGTCCTATGTCTTTATTTCATATAAGGAAACAGCCCTGTCAGGGTAGCAGAACTGGCATCATCCCTTTTACACATGAAAGCAGTGAGGTTAAAATATTTGTCCAAGGTCTGTTCTCTGTTAAAACAGTAAAGACAAAAGTAGCACCAAGATAGCCAACTGCTAGATGAGCACTATTTCCACTGTTCCACACATCCTCCAAAAAAACCATTTAAGATATATACTGTACATTGCTTTAAATTAACATGGGAAACAAAAATTACATGAAAACCATCTTACTTGTTATTCTGTAGTCTTATTAAAAGCACAATAAAGAAATAAAAAATTTACAACCTGAGTAATTTCAAATATTGATATAAAAGTATCTTTGTAGTTTGGTTAATCCTTTTAAGAATGTTCCCAATTTCTGAAATACTGAAAGAAAACTCTTTTCACATCTACAAATCTGGAATGTTTTTATTAAAATGAGCACATCAATTTCTAACAGAATACACAAAGCCTAATGACACCAGGTTTCGTTTCTTCATTTAGTACAGTATGTTTCAAATGGTACTCTCTAAAACAATTAAAATATAGAATGTAGATCTTAATTAAAGCTTGGTTTGTAAATATTATCAATAAAGTATATTTTGAGGACATCTGGGATAATGTGATTACAGAATGAGTATTATTTAGCATTATGAAATTACTGGTTTCTTGGATATGATAATGTTATTGCAGTTATACAGAAGAACACTTCTAATTTTTAGGAGATGGATGCTAAAATATTTAGAAATTAAATGTCATGATGTCTGCAACTTGATTTCCAATGCCTTAGAAAATATATATACATACATAAAGAATAAAACAAAAAATTGTTGAATATACAGGGTGACATAAAAGTGATAACTATACTATTCTTTCAAATGTTCTGCATGCTTAAACTTTCTAAATTTAAAAACTAGAAAATAAGAAAGGTTCACGGAATTTGCTAAACCATACAGACCCACCTATTTAATTAAACTGAATGTCAGTTTAACTTGACAGCTAAATCTCACAAACTAGTCATACATACTAGCTTGTCTGACATACTATTACTACCTATACTGAGATGGCACAGTTGATGGTAAGAGACTAATATTAATAAGAAACTAAAGAAAGCGGTTTTTTTGGTTTTAAAGTGTCTAAACTAAATAGGGGTTTTTTTTGGTTTTTTTGGTTCCAGGGATTGAACTCAGGACCTTATGCCTGCAAGGCAGGTGGCAGCACCACTGAGCTAAATCACTGGTCCAAACTAAGTAGGTTTTAACATCAAACTGGTTTTAACATTGACTTTTTAAAAAAATTATCAAATTCAAGCCAAGAGCTTCAAAGTTTCATACTTTAATAGTGCCAGGTTTTCCAGACATTAATAAACAGACTTTTTCAATTTATTTCATAAGTAAAGCAATAAAATTGAAAAATAACATCTAGATGTGTTTGTGATCCTCTGGCAAATGACAATTTGTAAATCATTGTGCATCATCCTAAATTTAAAAAGTTTATTAAGAACTTGAAATAATTAGTTATCATTATAACTAAACAGAAGTTTCTATAATCAAAAGATTACAATGATGTTACTATTGTTCAATAAATATTCAGAGTTATTATACCTAGAGTTAAGATTAGATTGTTTCTATTGCCTTAAAACTGAGTAGGTTTAAAAACTCAAAAGATTGCTTTTTAAAGTTGTTAAGGGCATAAATTCTAATAACAAGCTCTAAATTCACTTCCATGCTGTTCCAGTATGTTGGTTTGAGACTACTGTATTTCAGACAAGGGAAAAAGGTCCTTGAGTTAAAGTGACCCCTGCTGGTAGGTGATCATAACTAACAGGAGAGACTATTTTAACCTATTTTAATAGTAGATTTAATGTCAAATTCAAGAAATTTAACAAAAATTGCTTATTCAAACTTTAGAATCGCTCATGTCATTTGACTTGTACATAAGTTAACTTTATAGTTAGTAGTCTGAAAAGTTTTAAAGACTTATGGACTAATTAAGAAATATCAATATCTTCACTTTAATTGAACAAAGAATAAACCACATTGACCTCAAAATGTAGGTATGACCAAGTCAAATTGCTGGCAATTTAATCCTCTTAATGATGCTACAGTTAAGAATTTAATTAAATAATAATCTGAAAAATAAAAAAAATACTCGTCTTATTTTACTCAGTATTAGTAGTATTCTCTGCACTAACTTAAAAAGCAACAGATTTCTCAATCCAACTATTTTATTAAACAAAACAATCCCTATAAGAAATACACCAAGAGATTTCTGTGCAATTTGTTTTTCTGGAACATCATGGCTCCTGCCAGAGAAAAATCAGAACTTAGCACTTGAGGTGCTACATATTATTTGAGAATATATCTCTCAAGTGGCTAGCTACTGGCAGAAGGAATTCCATATTAACATATATTACAAATATATGCATGATTTCAACTATTTCTCAGTTCATAAAGATTAAAATATAAAAGTATAAACAGTGAATGGTTCTATATCTCTGTCATCATTGCTAAGGAGTCATCGTTGAATTGCAAAGGTTTGTTTCTTCAAGGGGTAATCAAACTTTCTGTGTAGTCTACAAATAGCCCAAATTCTTGAGCCAAAAGACTATATTACAGATAATCTACTTATCTCATATTATATCAGAAGCAAATGCTTCAAAACTAAACCCCCTGTGCAATGCTATACAAAAATTTAAAGAGAATGTATCACAGTATGTGGTATCCATAGCAACTATTACAAGACAGGAACCATGTCTACTTAACTTACATACTCTCAATTGCACTATGTGGGTTATAAAATTAAGAACACAGTAACTCATGCAAGAGGTGACAACAAATTAATTAATTTTAAAAGTTCCAAAAAGTTAAATCTTTTGAATGAAAAATTCTGGAAATTAAAACTTAAAGACAAATTCTTCCCCTAATTATTAATCACAGCTAATATATCGGATAAAATCACATTCTATTGAAGATTATTGATATTACAGGCTGGTCATATTGGAAATAACATATTGGTTTACAGCCAGGGGGTCTATATAGTAAACAAAAACTTTCTTTTTCAAAGATAATTACATCTTGGTTTTCAAAAAATCAAATATATAATATGTGTGGTTATTTCCTTCCACTTATATTTAGGGAAGGATCAAAAGACCAGTTTCCTAACTACAATTTTCAGTTTACAAACAGTAAAATAACTTGTTCTGAGTAGCTTCTGGTAGGTAACCTATCTTAGAATGGTCCTCATTTTGGTGGATCAAACATAGTAAGGAATCCAATTAACCAAGCATTTGACTAGGGTTATTCTCTCAGCTTCAGAAAGAGCAAGGTATCACACTCACACACACACACACACACACACACACGATTTAAAATAATCCCATTTCCTATATGTAATAAACATACCCAAGAATTACTGCTAAATATGTTTTAATTATTTTATAAGGTATGTGCTAAACAATACTTATGTCAATTTATTTGAATCCCTGAAGGATAAATTAAGTTTTCCAAATAATTCATAAACTATGTATCCAAAATTATACTCTAAAGTTACTAGAAAAAAATCTCAGAGTCCAAAACTAATCACAATAAATGTTATGGAAGGTAGTAAAGGCCATTCATGTCAAAAGGTAATGAGAGAAAAAGATGCCTTTTAACCTTCAATTCTTTCTGAAAGCTTAGTTCTGATACTAAGACAGTTTGCAAGACAATGAGTACTAATCCATCCCAAATAAAGATACTTTTGCCCTTCGATCCCAAATAAAGAAACAAATGCTCTTTTCTCAATTTCACAAGGGAATAACTCTTAAATTTTAATTGAAAACATAAAACAAAACCCCACAAACTTTAAAGCTGCTTTTGAGTTTATTTCAACATTCCAATTTCCTTTTAAACTTTGTAAAGACATCATTGCTATTTCCAGATAAATAATAAAAGGGAATAAAACAATTTATCTGATACTGATATTCTGATTTGAAAAACAGCATGTTTTCCCAGCTTGTGAAACTACAACAGGAAATCGGTTCTCTGAGAAATCTTAAAAATCACTTACCCATCTACTGAGTAAAGTTGGAAGTAATACTGGATTGCCACTTATGAGAAAGAATCACATTAATTTTCCACTAAATCTTCCTTTCTAGTTCTTCACAAGGCAGAGAATTGAAAGAGGACAATTCCTCACATGGACAAAGATCAGATGATAGACCTTATGAGAATTCTTCTGCTGCCAGTATAAGGTTGCTTAATTTTATTTCCTTCAGTAAGAATAGTAATGAAAACATAAGGAGAGCCCACTTTGCTATCTGTGAACAATCACGTATGCTCCTTTCCAAAAGATACTCATCCAAAATTGTTTCTCATTTCAAAAGCAAGTTGAGTCTGAAAATATTGCAAAAATGGAAGTGCCATGAAATGACAGTGAAGAATTAGAAGCAGCCAACTCATTATTCAATCAAGAATTTGGCACAAGCATAAACCATGTACCATTTATTTTAATGGATCTTAATTCTCCTGCTATCAGCTGAAATTCCAAATCCCAAATTGAACAATGACTGGTGCCAAAATCTGGTAATTTTCTTACTTTTTCTGTCTGAGAATACTGTTACAAAGAAGAGCAGCAAATAGTGTGCCACTTTTGACACAATAGATTTGTATGTTCTGTAAACTGACAGGCAAATGTTCCTAAAGCAGTGTAAAATCAGCCACCCATTTTAACATGTGTCTTTCTATCTGCACATGATAAATAAAATATGTAGGTTCCTAAAATAATGTAATGTCCTAAAATCACAAGAACTGTTCTGAGGAACTGTTTCATGAATAAGAGAAATACTCGAATATAAGCTATTATCTATCTGAATTTTTAATCAAGTAAGGCAGGCTTTCTCATCCACAGTATTTGCCCAGAAGTGTCCACTGCAAGTACAAAAAAACCGGTTTTTAATTATAGAATACAAAAGTGGTACTTTCTACCAATTGTTACTTATATTTATTCCAAGATATAGATCCAGTATAGGGTTTATTTTTGTTTATTTGCTTGGGGTGGGGGGGTGTCTGTCTGTCTGTCTGCTTTGGAGACTAAAACCAGGGCCTCCAATATGCTAGGCAAACACTTTAGCTCCCATTCTTCTTATTATTAACTCACAAGCAAAACCATTAGGTTCTATAAATGGATTTTTTTTTTTTACTTCCAAATACTTAGGATAGCTTAAACTTGATGCTACTATACTTTCCTTGGTCTTTAAGTGATAGGAAATTTCACAAACAAGTATGAGCACACTTGAACTTTGCTGCTCAGAGCTCAGACATTATTTTAGTATAATAATATTTACTCCTAGAACTTATCTCCATATCTTCTTTAATAATTCTGCTTTAAATATTATTGCCCTCTATCATTCTAACAGATATGATGTAGTACTCATTATGCTAGCTTCCCCAATCATAATACAGTATCTCGTTAAAAAAAAAAAAATTCTAGTAAATTAGCAGACCTTACACAAGGATTTCAACTGTTAACATTTACTTCTGCTTTAATACAACCAAAGTACGATGTCTAGAACAGTCCACACCAGGACCATATGTCCTTTTGAATCTTCTCCCTACCCCAGGAGACAAGCAATTAAGGGGTCTCTGCCAAGTCTAGCAATCTAACTGATAAATAACTAAAGGTAACAAAATTATAACATGTAATTGTTAAATTAGGTGATCATATACCTAGACTTCTTGAAAATGGGAAACTGCAAGATAGAATAAGCATCTCAGAAAAGAAAACAAGCTGGGCACGGTGGTGCATGCCTATAATCCCAGCACTCAGGAGGTTGAGGCAGGAGGATCACTCGAGTTCAAGGCCTGCCTGAGCTACATAGTGATATACTGTCTCCAAAAACAAAAACAACAACAACAAAAAGCAAAATTGAGCATATGCAATAAAGAGCATCTGAAACAGTGTACATGTAGGTAAATCTAATTATTTTTTGGTTTTCGATTTCTTTAAATATTAATAGTGGCTGTCCTGGGATGGTGAGACAATAGGCCAAGATAACAGGGGCTAGGGACTGGCGATTTAGCTCAGTGGCATCCCGAACCTGCCTTGCAAGCACAAGGTCCTGAGTTTGATCCCTGGTAGCCAAAAAAAAAAGATAACATGGGCTACTTGCTAAACAAGTTTTCCTTTGCTTCATTAGTGTCTCTGACCCTGCTCTAGATATCAACCAGAAAGCTGATTTAGAGGGATCACATCAAAAATCTCCCTTGCCCAGAAGTTTTAATTGAGCATAGTGGATAAGTAGTATTAAAGAGCTCTAGGAGTTTTAAAAAAAAGGCAAGAAGAAAGAGCTGAGTACATTCCCTCAACTTCCTTCCTGCTGAGAAATACTGCAATAAGAATTATGGATCAACTACTGCAGTTCAAACAATAAATAAATGCCTAAAGAAATGCAGGAATTCCATACTAACACACAAAGCTGAATACAGAAATAATATTACATGGCATTGTTAAGTTTCTTTAAAAACCTTGATAATATAAGCTCTTTTAATAAGGAAAGAAAAAATAGTAATTCTTTCTAGCGTACAGCTAAAGTAGTTATATGTGCTTTATTGCATTATCTTACTTAATAGCTTAAATAATATTATACAACAAGGTAGAGTCTAGAAGTACATTCTACATATTAATGAAGTTTGATTACCTATATTTAATTGCTAAGTTCTGGGACAAGTGATAATCAGCCATTACTTCTAATTTCAATAAATATCATGTTATTAATCACAAAATATTAAAAAATACCTTAAGAAACATAATACTCAATGAAAGACAGAATTATTCAAATGACCAGCAATTGAAGTATATACTTTACCTTGGCTTAAAATCATACAACCCTCTTTAAACCAAGAAATAGGTGTGATAACAATAAAATTACTGAAACAAATTTTAACTGCACCTAAAGGGATGATTTTACAATACTATTTTTACACATAGAACTGGTAAAAACCATAAAAATATAGCACAACTAAATATGAAGATTACTTATAACATATCACAATTATGCAGCAGAATTTAAAAAATATAAATATGTGTATCTTCTTTTTTTCCTTTTTTTTTTTTTTTTTTTTTTTTTTTTTTTTTTTTTTTTTTTTTTTTTACCTGTTTTGCAATTTCTCTTAAACAGGCTACTCCTTGTTCAAAATTAGGGAAAGCTACCGAGCCATACTTTTGGTATTCAGGGATTGGTCTGATTTTTATTGTAGCTTCTGTTATTACACCAAGAGTTCCTGAAAAAGAAGGGGGAATAATCCAATATGTCACATGACAAGTTCTATATCATATTTAAATCTAATTTAATCTATTTATTAATTCATTCTACTACTCATATTTAAATCTATTTATAATCTATTCTATTTGGGGAATGATAGTTATTCATGTTTTTTAGATAAACAATTAAGCAAATTTTTGTAATTTCAAAAAAAAATTTTAGCCTTTTCTTAGTTATGTATAAATATTTAAAACATTTTAAAGTAACTTTTCTCCAAGAAAGTTTCTTTCAAATGGTTTTTAAAGTATTACAACTTACTAAAAGACAAAAAAATTTTGGAAAACAATAGATTTTTACATCTCATTATGTGTTAAGACAGATTATTCCTTGATATGTGTGCCTCATTTTATTGTGAAAAGAATTTACTGGGGTGAAAGAATCTAACCTTCTGGAAAATTTAATATAAAAGAAATTTGAGAAAATAGTACTATCATTTTTTTCTGAGAATACAAGAAAAGACAAAAGCATTATTAAGATGTCCTTGTAAAAAACATAAAAACATATTCAGAGACAAGTTATCATAAATATGTAGCACAAGATCATCAATGAAACAAACATTCTTTTATTACATGGAGAATGGATATGAGAGAAAGATTAAAACTAGTTAAATGTAAGCACATGACCTAAATATGCCAAAATATTGGAAGCAACAGGATTAAAAAGCAATACATTCAACAAAGCTAAGCTTTCTAAATTAGTGGATTCTGACACAGAAATGCTAGAAATTAATATTATCAGCATTTTTGAAGAACCATTTAAAAAGTGTAAAGAGAAAAACTGTAGAAACTATAGAACTAATTTACAAGCCTAGAAATAAAAATTTCACAAAAGCCAAAGCTACCAATAAATTTTTGACCTACCAAGAGCAATTTATCAATGTACAAGACAGTATTAAAAACTTGTACGAATCCATGAAAAGTTAATTACATTAGATCACAATATATTCCCTACAGATACACATGACTTCTGACTAAGATTATACAATAAGATCTTATAACTTGAATGATCATAAAAGCTCTGCAAGTTTGGTACAATTAATGGAAAACAGATATGTCTTGTAAAATTTAAAATACAAAGAGACTAAACTTTCTCTTTTGTTTTAATATCTTTGACTTATAATTTACAAAATAAAATTCACCTATTTAAAGCACAGAATACAATGGCTCTAACTATATACAGATATACAAAACAGTCATTATAATTTATGTTGAGACCATTTTCATCCCCCCCACCAAAAGAAAACTATACCCATTAAACAGTCACATTCCATTTAAACACCCACAACCTAGCCATAAGCAACCATGAATCTATTTTGTCTACATAGATTTCCACACACTGGAAATTTTATTTAAAGGCAATCTCACAATAAGTGCCCTTGTGACTGGCTTTCCACTTACCAGGTTTTCAAAGTTTTCCCACATTACAGCACATATTAGTATTTCATTCCTTTTAATTGCCACATATAATTGTCTTGTATAATTCATTCTGTTTATTCATTAGTTGATGAACATTTGGGATTCCACTTGTGGCCTACTGTGAATAATGCTGCTATGAGTGTATTTATAGGATTTTATATGCACATGCCTTCCTTACTCTTGGATATATACCTCAAGATTTTCTTAATTTCAAAAAACATCTTTGATTCTATTCCATACAAAACCTGGTTGACATGGCTGAGAGGCAGATCTTCTTGGTCTCAGCCATAGCTGATGGCACAAAGGTTCTACATCAATGGGGCACACTGATACCAGGGCAATCAAGGCTATTTAAGGGTCCCTTTTGTCCTTGCCATTGCTTCCAGTGAGCTGCTTTCCTGTCAGAATAGCAAACCTGTATGACTTACTTGCCTTACCCATTTGGTTTAGGCACTCAGCTGCTAAAGCAGAAGTGTCACTCATAAAGAAACATGCCACTATCACCACACCATCTCCAGGGCATGGGTTCAAATAATTTTTTACAGAAGGAGCAACAGGCCATAAGACAGCTCCTAAGCACATTTCAAAAGAAATTACTTCATTTGCAACAGAGAATGGAAGTTAAGAATACTCTCAGGTTGGAAAAGAAGAATACTCTCAAAAACATGAAGGTTGCTGTAAAAAAGGTAATTGGGAGAGCACAGGCAGGTTCACTGGAGATAGAGGCTAAGTTGTCTAATAAGACTAGAAAAGGGACATTGGAGAGGGTGTCTGTCTTTCTGTCTTCCTCTTTCAAATTAGCTTAGGAAAGGGAACTGGCCAGCCTCTCCCCCCTCCCCTCCCCCT